TTTTAGTTTCTGTTTTCTTTAAAGTTTTGACATGAGAGCCATTGTTTATATCCATGGAAGAAAACAGTTATAATGGAAGAGAACACTGGCTAGATGAAACTACATTTTAAAGCTCCTGTCATGAGTGACAACAGGAATGGGGAAGCACAGAACCACTCTAAAGGGAGTCAGGAAATTCAAGTTTCATACGTGATTATATACGTAACAGTCACAACAGTATTTTACTAACTGGACCATGGTTCCTTCAGGTCAAAGACAGAGGTAGATCTGAGAAAACGTTAATCCACAACTCAAGGCCCACTCATCCTGCAATTATAATAGAGAATAGCTTTCTCTCTGACACAGCCATCAGAAGGAGAAAATGTGTTTTTCTCCCCAATCATCAACCACCCTTCCAGATTCTGAAGAATAGAACTCACAATAAGCATTGTGACCAGAAGATTCTTCTTGGTGACTTGAGCGTGAGAGAAGATGTAGTTCAGTACAGTGTTCATGTCGCTCTTGTTCTCCTCTCGTAGGGCGAACACACATTTGTCATAGTGACCTGCAAGCAGCAAAGAGAAATTGTCCTTTCCCATGTATGAACGTTAATATTTACAAACTTTTTTTTAATGTCTTTAATTCCCCTGATAAGCAGTGCAAAGAAACCTCTTGAATTTTCTTAGAAGAATTTGTATAGAATTGGTAGCATGGTTTATTAAAATGAAATGTTGGACTAGGAGTCAGGCAATCTGGATATAAAACCTGGGCTCAAGGCCTAGCTATGCTACCAATTTTCTATGTGCTCCTGGACAAATCACTTTACCTTCTGACCTCAATTTCATTATATTTAAAAAAAAAAAAAAAAATGGAGGGGGGCAGTAACATGCCTCCAATACTGGGTGTTTGAGAGTAACTCCAATCCCTCCTACACTCTGAACGCTCTCATTTACCTTCCTTGAATAAAAGGTTTCCTTCGAAGAAAGGGTTCTGTTGCTTAAAAAAGTAAAATGCCAGTACCATTAACCTTGATAGTATTTAAAGTCTACAACTTGAGATTCTGGATTTTATACTCGACTCATTCAAATGATTTCATCCCGATAGGAACAATTTTAGCTAAAAACAAACAAACAAACAAAAAACACCACAAAAAACCCCAACACACCATACTAATTTATTAACAGCTATATTAAGTTGTATTTGCCAGCTCTAGAATCAACTTTTCCCTTTAAGTCCATGAAACAGCTAAACAATGCCTAGAATTCCAAGTTCAAACTAAGGCATAGATCAAACAGAACCTTGAATTAAGCCAAAAGGTCTATAGGGAGACTACAGTTATAATTTTCACCAGCCTTTCATAAGGCCACTAGGGGCAAACTGGTGCTGGGTAGGAAAGCTGTGACTTTTAGGTATACTGTATCTACCACGTTGTTGTCGTTAGGTGCCGTTGAATCAGTTCTGACTCATAGTGACCCTAGATACGACAGAATGAAACTATGCCTGGTCCTGTGCCATCCTCATAATCCTTATGGCTTGAGCCCACTGTTGCAGTCACTCTATCAATCCATGTCGCTGGGGGGGGTCTTCCTCTTTTTCACTGACCCTCAACTTTACCAAGCATGGTATCTTTTTCCAGGGACTGGTCCCTCCATATCCAAAAGTATGTGAGACAAAGTTTCACCATCTTTGATCCTCAGGAGCATTCTGGCTGTCCTTCTTCCAAGATAGACTTGTTTGTTCTTATGGCTATCCATACCATAGTATATTCAATGTTCTTCACCACACCATAATTCAAAGGCATCAATTCTCCTTTGGGCTTCCTTATTCATTGTCCAGCTTTCAAATGCATATGACGTGACTGAAAACACCATGGCTTGGCTAAGTCCTTGGCTAAGCCACCTTAGTCCTCAAAGGGACATCTTTGCTTTTTAACCCTTTAAAGAGGTCTTTTGCAGATTTTGGTTTCTTGACTGCTGCTTCCATGGATGTTGACTGTGGCTCCAAGTAAAATGAAATCCTTGACAGCTTCAATCTTTTCTCCTTTTATCATCATGTTGCTTATTGGTCCCATTGTGAGGATTTGTGTTGTGTTGAGGTGTAATCCATGCTGAAGGCTATAGTCTTTGATCTTCATCAGTAAGTGCTTCAAGTTCGCTTCACTTTCAGCAATCAAGATTGTATCATTTGCATATCACAGGTTGTTAATGAACACTCCTCCAATCATGATGCCATGTTCTTCTTCTTACAGACCAGCTTCTTGTACTATTTGTTCAGCATACAGACTAAGTAAGTATGGTGAATGGATACCACCCTGACACACACCTTTCCTGATTTTAAACCATGCAGTATTCCCTTATTTTGTTTGAATAACTGCTTCCTGGTCTAAACAGGTTCCCTATGAGCACAATTAAGTGTTCTGGAATCCCCAATTTTCACAAAGTTACCCATACTTTGTTATGATCCACATAGTTGAATGCCTTTGCATAGTCAATAAAATACATGTGAACATCTTTCTGGTATTTTCTGCTTTCAGCCAAGAGCCATCTGATACCAGCAATGATCTCCCTCATTCCAAGTCCTCTTCTGAATCTGGCTTGAATTTCTGGCAATTTTCTGTGTATATATTGCTGCAACCATTTTTAAATTATCTACAGCAAAATTTTACTTGCGTGTGATATTAATGATATTATTCAATAATTTCCACATTCTGTTGGATCATCTTTGTTTGGAATGGAAACAAATATAGATCTCTTCCAATTGGTTGGCCAGGTAATTGTATTCCAAATTTCTTGGCATAAATGAGTGAGCACGTCCAGTGCTGTAGCCATTTGTTGAAACATCTCAACTGGTATTCTGTCAATTCCTGGAGCCTTGTTTTTCGCCAATGCCTTCAGTGCAGCTTGGACTTCTTCCTTCAATATCACAGATTCCTGATCATATATTACTGCCTGAAATAGCTGAACACTGTCCACAACTCATCCATCACTTTCTTATACTGGGGAGGCTTATGTGTTTTGCTGTGATGCTAGAAGTTATGCCAATGGTGTTTCAAATACCAGCAGGGTTACTTACGACAGGTAGATTCCAGTGGAGCTCTCAGAGTAAGAAAGACTAGGAAGAAGGACTTGGTGATCTACTTCTAAGAACTGGCTGTGGGAACCTTACAAATAGCAGCAGGACATCTACCATGGGACAAAGGTAATATCCAGATCTAGAAAAAATAGCTTACTTCTCAATTAAACTTCCAAGTAGAGGAATGTGTGTTCAAATATTTTCAAGGGTCACAATTTATGAAATCATGAAAATAAGAAAGGATTTTCACCTCAGTTCAGATTCTGTGTTGAGTTACAAACCAGAAGAGTAGTGTTCAAGCTACTCTATCAAGGTTTCCTGGAATACTAAGGACATTCAAATAGGGAAATTCTACTTTTATCTGTCTTAAATATTAGAGATTGACACAGATTTTACTTCAAAAGGAAACTAAAATATGTTGGAAAAACAAAACAAAACAAAAAACCAAATTCACTGCCACTGAGTTAATCCTAACTCGTAGTGAACCCCCACTGGGTTTCCAAGGCAGTGTATCTTTATGGAAGTAGATCACCCCATCCTTCTGTGGAGCAGCTAGTGGGTTTGAAACTGACAACCTTCTGGTTAGCAGTCATATGCCTTAGGCACTACGCCACCAGAGCTCCTTGTAGGCGCTACTAGGACCAGCAAAATAAAAGAATACATTCACTCTAGGGGGAAGAGGGAGATGGACACTAACAGAAAGGAAGCAGTAACACCAAGTGTTCCCTTTAAAAAAAACTTTTTATTGTAAAATGTACATACAAAAATGCTTAAAACATATACTAATGATAAACATATAACTACCATCTTTCTTTAGACAGATCCAATAGAACATCTTTAGTATGTTAGACAGTCCCTACATGCTCCTCCTAAGAGACAGGTAACTAAGGTGAGTTTTATGTTAATACTTTGCTTTTCTTTACATTACCATCAATGCACGTATAGTTTGATTTTTCCTGTTTCTGAAACCTGATAAAAATTGAATCATTCTGTACTGAGTCTTTTGTAACTTGCACCTCCCCCTCAACATTATGTCTTTTAAGATTCATCCTTTTGTTCATGTATGTACTGTGATTGTGATCCATTTCCACTGCTGTACAGTGATCCATTGTAGGAAATTATTTATCCTGTTAGATATTTGGATGGTTTCTTGTCCTTTTTGCTGTTATGAAGAATGCATTCACAAACATTCTTGCATTATGTCTCCTAGTAAACGTATAGGAGAGTTCTCTAGAGTATATTACCTAGGAATAAAATTTCTAGGTCCGAAAGTATAAATACATTCAAATATGTATACATACATACACACACACACACACACACACAGATATTAGGGTTTGACAAGCCATTTCCTAAAGTAGCTATATCAATTTGCACTTTAACTTTTTATTATGATTTGGGTCAAAGTTCGTAGAGCAAAGTGGTTCTCCTTTCAACATTGCATACACATTTTGTTTTATGCCATTCATTATGATCCTCACAAAATAATAGCCCTCTTCCCACTCCCCTGAGTTTATCATTTCCATTAGGCCCTCTTTCCTATCTTCCTGACTTCTAGGCATATTTATCCCTGGGCAAATGCTGCCCTTTTCATCTCGTCTGGTTGAATGTTCTAAGAAGTGCATACCTCCCTGATGTTACTGTTTACCTTATAGGCCTGTCTACCGTCTGGATGAAAGCTGAGCCATGGGGCCGAGTTCAGTTCCAGGCCTGAAGGGTGACTAAGAGCCACAGTCTCAGAGATCCCACCAGTCTCTATCAGACTAGTAAGCCTGCTCTTTTTTTATGATTTTGAGTTTTGTTCTTTGTTTTTCTCCCACTCTATCTGGTACCTCTACTGTGATCCCTTTCAGAGTGATTAGCAGTGGTAGTTGGGTACTATCTAGTACTTCTGGTCTCAGGGTCAGAAAGGTTGGAATTCACATGGTCTACTTGTCCTTTAGACCAACTGTTTCCTTGCATCTCTGATTTTCTTTACTCTTCTTTGCTCCGGACAGGGAGAGACCAATAGTTGCACCTAAGATGGCTGCTCACCCAAGTTGCACTTCTACCAGCAGCAAAAGAGTAAGGTTTTTCAAATTTTTACCAATATGAGAGGTAAGTGAACTTTACTGCGATTTTGGTTCACATTTTCTCTGATCTAATGAGATTAAGTACCTCCTTCAAAAGTTCACAGATCATTTATGTTTCCTATTTGGTGAAATATTTTCTATATCTCTTGCTTATTTTTCTATTCACAACA